TTTCAGTCTGACAGATAAATGGAGTCTGAAAGTAAAACATCTTTGTAATAGTCAGGAAACAGAAGCCAGTAGAGCTCCGGGACGAGCCCTCCAACACCCAGGGGAACAGAAGAGAGGTGGAAGTTGGCACAGAATCAAGTGGAGGAAACAGATTCAATAGCGTTGTCACAAAACAGCAAGGCTGGAAATAAGTAAAAAGAGTAGGTTTAAGATCACCTTGGAGCAACAGGAAGTRGCAGTCCCAGAGGAGGAGAACCCTGAAGCAGGTGGAACACAAAGTTGTCCRCAAGCTTTTCAAAGAAGGCTTTACCAGGGGCAAGGTAAGGGCAGCAGGAAACAGTGAGAGCACTTAATCATGTTAAACACAAACATGTCAACTTGCAGTGGTGGGTTCAGTAAACTAAAATTAGAACACTGAAGCAAGAACTTTGCTCCTCTCCCAGCTGACCTTCACAAGTCGAACCTCTTTTTTATCCAAACAGGAAGAAAGCAACCTTATATACTGTACTTCAGATCTGTTTACCAGTGAAACCTACCAGGGATGCTGTTTGACTGGATGGACAAAGCAATGAATGGATAATCATTTATACCTCTTTTTGACAACTTTACAATTAGATTTATTTGAGTGGTTTGATTGGTTCTGATTGGTCCTAATCTGCACAGTAATATGAAAAAAGAAGAACAAGATGCAACATACCTGTAGAAACAACTGGTTTTACTGGATTCACTCACTGCTCAGCTGCCAACAGGAGAGGAGAATTTATTCTGCAGAGAGATGAAAACGTTGATTGTAGAAGATATCCTCACATCCACGGCTGAAAATAATCCCATCTGTGCTCCTAAAACTAATGAATTATTAATTGTGAACGAAGAAGWAAAGTTTTACAGCAAAGCAGAATTTCGTATCTGGCCAAAATCAACTGGAAACCAAAATAAAGACCAGATGGACCAGTACCTCAGCTTTATATGCAGTACAGGAAATAAAACTGGGAACATTTTTTTTGTTATTATTATTACTTCTTATCTGCAAATTCACATTAACCAGAGAGTTATCTCAAGCATTGTGTGATGCAATTCCTAGTAAAGATTGTCTGCAAAATGGGGCTGTGAGGAGCAAAACTTTGTTTACATTTGGCTTATGAGCCTTTAAGTGGCAGAACCAGCCTCGATACACCTTTTTAAATTATTAGAATTTAAATTCCTATTCTTCTATAGAAAAATAGTAATTTATGCAAAGAGCTTTGCAGTTACCTCCCGTTTCTAAAAGGGTAAACATACATGATCGTCAGCTCGTGCATGACAAGTAGTGACACAATCTATATACATCGAGGTGTTATCATTTGTGATCAGGCACCTGCCAGACCACACAGCGATGACAGCCAGCCAAGCTTTTTCTTCCACGGGAGCTCTCCTTTGTTCTGTCTATTCTAACAAGCTTTCTACCTCCCATCTCAGACTCCTGGAAAAATAAACAAGCTCTTGTTGAGCTGCCCCCCTCATTAGCCATCTATTGGCCGCACAGCGTTTTGTCTAAAAACAAGCCCGTGTTTTGCCAACTCGCTTCACTGGACTGTGCCACACAGCGCCCGAGCGAAACAGGTTCAGAGCCTGCTGCAAAAGTTCAAAAGAATGGATGGAAATCATAAAAAACTGGTGAATGTGCACTTGAGAAAAATACACATGTGCATTCATTTGATTTCATCTTTACTTCGGGATATTCAAATACGTAAATAAAGAAAGCAGGCAGGGAGACCAGTTCCTGCCTGTTGCTATTGCATTTCTGTGCTGTTGCTGAGACAGGAAATGAAGAGAGCCATATCATACAGTAATAACACTGAGTTCTGATCATAGATAGGGTGGTGGTAGAAGGGGATGGGGGGGGGGGGGTGCTGCAAACACAATGATTCAGAAAGCAGGACACTGATCAATACACACACCAGAGAGCCATATCAACAAACCTCCTCTGTTTGTAGCCCACACACGCAGTCATCGTCCGTGTCAATTTGTACTTTATTCTCCAATCAGTCATGATGAAACACGGGGTCCTGGCTGCAGGTTGGAAACAAATATGATTCAACGCTTTCCAGATTTAATGGGAATTTATCTGTTTTTATCACACGTAAAAGGTCAGGGGGAAAAAAACAGCAAGAGGAATAATCCCTCCATCTCCCAGTGGTGTTGGATGAAATTGAATTTGCAGTACTGTTTTCGACTCARTTTACTATTGATGAGCTTGGAAGCAGGAGGTTGTAAAACTGTTGCATTCATTGCAAAACTCTTGAACACAAAAAGGTTAGCTCATTTTCTAAGTGTTTGCATWT